AGGGTGGAACGGCTGGATCATATGGTTGTTGTACCGGATTGAATAGTGTCCCCCCAAAACCATGTCCACATGGAACCTCAGAATGTGACTTTATTCAGAAATAGGGTATACTCAGATGTAATTAGTTACAATCAGATCATACTGGATCAGAGTGGTCCCTAAATGCAATACTGATGTTTTTATAAGAGAGATATAAAGGGAAGAAATCCATATGATGATGTACTATAAGCCAAGTGATGCTAAGGATTGCCAGCAACCACCAGAAGCTGGTTGAGAGGCAAGGAACAGACTGTCCCTCAGACCCTCAAGATGGAACCAATCCTGCCGACACTTTGATTTTGGACTTCTGGCATTCAAAATTGTGAGAGAACTAATTCCTGTTGTTTTAAGCCACCCAGTTTATGGCGCTTTGTCACGGCAGTTCTAGGAAACGAAGTAGTTATATGTTTTTTTTTTTTAAACTTTTTAAAAGACTGTCAAACATTTTTCCAAAGTCTTTGCATTCCTATCAGCGGTGGGTAAGAGTTCCAATTTCTCCACATCCTTGCTCGCACTTAGTGTGGTCAGTCTGTCTAACTTTAACCATTCTAATAGATGTGTAGAAGTATATCACTGTGGTGTAAATTTGTATTTCCCTAATGTCTAATGGTCTTGGAAATCATTTCATGCATTTATTTGCCACCTGTACATCTTCTTTGGTAAAGTGTCTACTCAAATCTTTTGCCCATTGGATATTTGGGTTTTTCTTATTATTGAGTTGGAGAGTTCCTTATATATTCCAGATACAAGTTCTTTATCAGGTATATGATTTGCAGATATTTCGTCCCAGTTGGTGGCTTTTCCTTTCATTCGCTTAAGCATATCTTTTGAAGTTAGCTAGCTATTCAAGGTGCCAAGTTGGATGCCACTTTTTCTTGGCATCACTTTCTCTGAGCCTCAAGCTTTGATGAGTGGCCCTTCTAAGGACTTGTCAAGTTTCAGACACATTCTCATATCATGACATGCACTGTAATTGTTATTATATTCGTTTGTTATTGTAATTGCTTGTTTACCTGTGTGTTTCTCCCCCAGACTCAGAACTCTGTGATCATGGTCAAGGACTCATCACACCCTGCTCTCTCCTGCATCCTCCACACCAGCACTGAGATGGACAGAACATGCTCACGTTCATAGTCACTGTCTGTCTCTCCAGACTCACTGTCCATAGTTCTCCACCCTGCACCGTGTTCTGGAAAGCTGACTTCTGTGGACTCCTGGACCACTGACTCCCGGCTGGGTCAGCCAGTTGGAAGAGATCAGAGGGCAGGAGAAGAAGGGACAGGCTGTTCATTTTCTCAGCTTCCTCCCTGACAGGCTCCAGTTTGGTAACAATTGCTCTTCTCCTGTCCTGCCAGATGGCCCCTGTCGCAGAGGTACAGCTCTCATGAGGCCCCTATAACTGCTCCCTCCCAGGTTCCTTCAGGCCCCGATACAGTCATGACAGCTTCCAGCACTGGCTAGAACCTAGGTCTTTCCCTTCCTGTTTTGGTTCCCTTCACTCTGCCCATAACTTTGTAAATAGTGTTTCACTATAAACCACTATTAAATCAGGGTCTCACCCTTTCTTGCGGAGACTCTGATTCCTACAGTGCTCGAAATACATTTGTTAATCTTGACCCTCACCATAACCCACACATTAAGTAAGTTTTAAATCCTGAATCTTCTTCACCATTTTCATTCAACATCATTCAGGTTTCTAATATTTTTCTAGAGTTTCAAATGACTCCATACACTCTATTCCTGTCCACCTCCTTCCTTCCTTCCCTCCTTCATTCACTCACTCAGCAGAGACTTTTGGAGAATTTACTAAGTGCCAGGAACTGTGCTGCCCTGGAGAATCAAAGAGAAGGAAAATGTAGTGGGTTCCTCAAGGAACCTACATTCAGGTGAGAGCTATAAATAAAGAAGTAATTCTAATTCAAAATGATGGAAGATGTACAAGGCCTGCAGGTGCAGGTGTTCCGGGCCGCAGGGGGCAGGAGACATCATTTCAGCAGGACAGAGGTCTGCAGAGCTCGCTCCTGAGCTCCCCTTTGCTCGTTGCTGCCCTGCTTCCTCCCCCCACCCTCACAGCTCCCATGAAAGGACATTGAAAATATGCTAGACTCTGTCCCAAGCACTGCACAATCTTATCTCATTTAATACAGCAGCAAATAGTACCATCTGCATCTTACACAGAAGGAAACTGAGGCTAAGGAGACTAAGTAACCAGCTGGTAAGTAGCAAAGCACCTACTTTCACCATCACACTACCCTACCTCCCGAATCTGAAACAGACGCAAGACCTGGGTATGGGGGAAGGATCATTTTCTTGAAGGCGTAAAAGTTTTTGCCACAGATTTCCACCTCAAAGAGATGAAAACGAGCCCTTCTGGAATCTTCTAATCATTGAATAGGAAATTTGGTGTCAGTAGGCCAGGAAGCTGTCACCACCATTCTTCATTACGCTAATTGCTTTGAAGGTGAAATATGGCTGGTTTCTCCTCTTTATCCTGTTCATATTCATAGCTCTGCTACTTGGGGATATCATCTGCTCTGGGTCAGGGAAGGCTTTTTCCCCCCATTAGAGAGAGGATACAACTGAAGCCCATAGCAGGTGGGTGTCTCACCGGGATCCCACAGCCAGTGGGAGGCAGTCCTGTGTCCCAGTGACTGACCTCGTTTGCCAGGCTGCCCAGTAGCCACCCGTTGCTTCAGCCAGGCCCACCTACTCACTCTCTCCCGTGCAAGCGTTTCTCACTCCAGACTTCGTATTTTCTCTCACGACTTCCTCCCATCCTAGAACAGCCTCTTCCTCCTAAATACCCTTCACCCCATCTGAACACATCTAGCCCTGCGCAATCACTCTAGCCCCTCCTGGCCTCTCCCACTTTTACGTTCACTGCACTGCACCTCACCAAAGATTAATATCAAGGCTGCACTTTCCTACTTAATTATGCCACTTGGATCGCGCTCGGCTGCCTCAGTAGAAGCCAGCCCACTCAGACAGGGCTGAACCATCTATACTTTGGGGTAATTCCCATAACAAATGATGTAGTGCTGAGTCACAGGAGAGATTTATAAGTACTTCATGACTGAGGTCTATATAGTCTCGTATGCTGAAAGCATCCTTTTTCTGCATGTTTCAGGCAGGGACACTGACTTCTATATGTAATAATATGCTATTGACTCAGGGCACACTTTGGAAGTTTTCACATTCTCTCAGCCACACCTCTTACTCCAGCCACCTCTGCAGCAGCCAGCCCTGCACATGTTCCCTCTGGGGCAACGTGACAGCACCTCACCTCTGGCCGTGCCATGCACCTGTTGCTGCCTGCCACAGGGCTTTCCGGTTGCCAAGGCACGGGACCAAGCTTGGAGCTTACCACTGCTATGGAAGTGTGCAGAGGAGTTAATAACCCTAGGACCACCTTCACTAGCAGAGACGGTCAGCCTAAGGATAAATGTTTCCCCCTTTCCTCTTCTCCCCAGGACAGACAGTTCTGAGACCTTCCGAGGCTCCTGCAGGACTGAGCACATGTTGCTACGACAGTGGCCAAGGCAGTAGCTGTCCTTGCTTCCTTATTCACTCTGATCTTCAATCCCACTCTCTGCCAGAGATCTCAACCCAGGCTCTGCTTTCTGGAGAACCAGGCTAAGACAGTTTTATTATTCTGGTTGGGCTGACTCAACAAAATATCAGAGACAGGGTGGTTTAAACAACAGAAATGCATTTCTCACAGTTTTGGAGGCTAGAAAGTCCAAGATCAAGTTCCTGAAGGTTTTGGGTTTTGATGAGGTCTCTCTGCCTGCCTTGCAGGTGGTTACATTCTTGCTGTGTCCTCCATTCCTTAGTGCCTGGACGGAGAGATCTCTCTCTTCCTCTTCTTATAAAGCCGACCTCATCTAGGACCCCACATTCAAGACCTCATATAAACTTGATTAACTCCTAAAATTCCATTTGGGGGGTTAGGACTTCCACATATGATTGGGGAGCTGGTGGGACACAATTCGGTCTAAAGCTGACAGTGTTACTCAAAACTATTGGTTTGGTCTTGGCCAACAGGCAGCTGAGAAAGGCAAGGTTCTCCAAGACCCCATCACCTTCCTTTTATTTTTTTAAAGCTCCCTTTTGCTTTCTTCCCTCCTCTTATGTTTCAATGACTAGCGTCATAAGCAATGTTTTGTTTAATGACTATTTAGGAAAGATCTTACATTAGCCTGTTCTCATAAATATTGAATGTTTCTAGTGTTCCGCCAGTTATTTGAAAGACTACCCTTAGAAAGACTACATTCTAGTCAGGGCTTCCCAGTTTAGGGAGGAACTTTTGCCAAGTTAAGGAGTAACCTCTTCTTAGAGCAAATCACTTTGCCTTTCTGGACCGGTTTTCTAGGTATAAAGTGGGACAACGCAGTAACAGCTGTAACACAGGATAACCCAGCTATTTCGCTGGGTTAGGAGGATCCAAGGAGATGGAAGGGGGAGATAGTTTTTAAATGGGAAAGGAGCTCAACAATGGAAGAAGCTTCAGCGTACTCTGGAGTGAGGAGGGTGGAGACCCCGGCGCACCCCCAGGGATCTCTGGGCTCCACATTCCAGGGGAGAGGAGGTCCAGAGCGCTCCCAGCGCGCCTGGGTCCACGGAGCAGCTCGGTTTCCTCTAAGCTGCTTGCTGCCAAACCCGCAGTGTTTACCATAATCCGGGTGGTTTGCAAACCCAGATGTCAGATTTCCCGTCTCAGGGATTCTCAACTCGCTCACCCCCAACTCCTATTTGGCCTCCGCAAGAAGGAGAGAGAAGGCTGGAAGCAGGAGGCGCGTGCACGGGGCAGCCTCACCCCTCCTCTCTCCCCACCCCAAAGGCAGGAATTTCTGGGATGGGCAGATGGTCCACCCTCTCTTCCTCCCTCCCGCTCCAAGCCGGAGTGGGTAGGGCGGGGAAAATCGCCTGGACTTTTCCGCCTTCCAGCCCATAACCCCGAGTGTCCGCACACTGTGGCGACAGGGGTGACGGTGACGGAGTGGATCTCCGGGACGCAGGGGTGGCGAGGCCTGGAGGAGGGGTGGAGCGCGGAGGAGGCTGCGGTCCCGCCTCGCCCACCGCAGGGCCGGGCGCAGTGTCCGGCGAGCCCAGTGGTTAGCGATGGCGCTGCTGTCGCTGCTGCCACCGCTGCTGCCGCTGCTGCTGGCGGTGCCGGCGGGCTCCGCCGAGGGCGCGGCGGCGGCACTCACCCCCGAGCGGCTTCTCGAGTGGCAGGGTGAGTGTCCCCCGGCCCAGAGGGACCAGATGGGCACGTCGGGGGCGGGGGTGGGCAAGAGGAGGAAGGGGCGAAGCTGGGGCGGGCGAGGGTGGCCGGGATTATACGGTGGCCCGCGTCTCTGCAGTCCGGAGAAAGCCCTGCGGATGGGCTAGTCCTGCACCGGGACAGGCCCTGCACCCCCTCCCCCGCCCCGCTTCCTCCAGGCTTCGGTCGGGGGCGCGGCGTGGGGCGGGGCCTCGGCTCGCAGGCGGTTTGACTGGGCTGCGGCCGGGGACAAGCTGCGCGTAGCAGGGTAGGAGATGTTTCGAATGTAAACTTTCCTAGAGCGGTGTATTTGGGAGGACCATCTCTGGGATACATGATGGCAAAAAGATGTCCCATTTTGTCCTCTCCCAAAGCAAGCGCTCTGGGTGTACGCCGCCACCTGCGGAGTGGCCCCAGCCTGGCTTCTCCTCTCTGCCCTTTCGGGAAAGAAAACAATCTTCTCTGTTAACGCTTCTCAGACCAGATAGGGAAGAGGAGCCCCTGTGGCCCCAATGAACTTGTGAGGTGGAGCAAGTTACCCTCTTTGCTCTTCAGTTTCTCCCCTTTGAAAAATGGGGCCTGTGACAGACATAGGACCACTGAGGGTAAAATGTGATCCTTTGCAAGGCGCACGGCAGGCCAGCGTGTGGAGAGTTCCTGCGGAGTTACCATTGCCATATACACGTGTACACGGGATCAATTGATCAAACATTTATTGAGCATCTACTGTACATAAGATTCATAAAGGGCTATGGACAGAGACAGAAAGAGAGATCACCGCTTTCGTAAATAAACTGTATGGGCTGCCTCTGAGGCAAAGGAGCCAGCGTGCAAAAGTGCAAGCCCATGTGTGAAGGGAGGAAAGAGGTTGGGAAAAGCTAAATAAACCAGGAGAAGCCTCCAGGCAGCCTCCATACTCTCAGCCTTTGGGGATAAGCTTGGACAGAAGGAGTAAAACATGTCACCAATGTCTGTATTTATTTTTTTCCCCTCTCAACATATTATGTATACATTTTGGAGGTAATCTTCTCTGGACTGTATTCTCTAGCATTCCTAGGAGGCTTTACCGGGGACAGGTTGAGCAATTCTTATTCTAAAGTGGCCGAAGGTCAGAGGCCTCTTACCTCCTTTGTCATTTCAATAAAAATGCTCCTGCAGAGGCACCTGTGACCCCATGGGGGTGATCCGTCTTCACAAACAGTCGCTATGCCACGCTTATTTCTTTACATTTTAAAATGTGGGTCTTGCCTGGGCACTAAATGTCTATCTAGAAGAGGGCAGCAGCCGAGAGTACAGAAGCTGGAACCTAGCCACACAGAGAGAATGCGCTGGTGTTCCTCTGAGCCAGGATTAGCACTGATGGGCTAATCGCTTCTATATGTAGCAGATCCAAATCCCGGCTGAGATAGTTTCTAATCAGTGCCTTCTTTTTAATAGTCAAGGACACTATGAAGTTAGAATCATCCACTACCTCCTGTCCACTCCAGGTGACAGTTTGCAAATCTGAAGGCATTTGACATAGTTGGCATAGAGATTCTTCAGCTGTGAAAATGCTGCTCCTAATTTCTGAAGAGCACAGACTGTGTGACATTGACTGCTCCAGTCCTCACACAGGCTCCCCTCCTTGACTCCAAGCACTCACATCAGTGGAATTTCAAGTATAATCTAGATGGGTTTAAAATCAGGTTTTTCCTGTTTGTCCAAAGATGGAAAAACAAAATCTTAGCGTTAGAAGGGACCTGAGACGTTGTCTAGTCCAGCCATCCATTTTTCAGATGTAGAAGCTGAAATACAGCAGTGTTTTTTAGCTGTGTTTGGACTCCTACGTTTGCCCCTGTGTTCACTGGACTACATTAACTTACTCTTAGCCGTGATTGGCATCCCCAGAGCAACCAGGAGAAAATATGCACCTATGTCAGTTTCACACCCACTAATAAGGGATAGGTAGTAACACAAGGCATATTATACATATAGTGTTTATCATTTGATGTGTGTTACTGATTGATCTCTTATTTATTATGTGCATCCCAGCCTTGACAGGCAGATGATGGACAGCACTGTGCTGACTTTTCAGTCATTTACCAATAAATTTGTATTAAAAAATCAGTAGATGCAGTGTCATATAGTAGTTAAGTTCATGGGCCCTTGAACCAGATCGTCTGGGCTCAAATCCTGGCTCTACCGTTTATCAGCTGTGTGACCTTGGGCAAGTTACTTAAGCTCTCTGTGCCTCAGTTTCCTCATATGTAAAAAGGGAGCTAATAATAGTACTTACCCAAGTATTGTCCTTTTGTTTCAGTATCACCACGGTGCCCTCTTCCTCTGGCCAGTCCAGACCATTTTGACGTGTTGACAGCCCTGGAACAATTACTTCCCTGTGCACAGCACTGTACATGGCATGTCTGCAGCCTCTCTCCTACCTCTAGTTGCTATAGCAAGGGACCTCATTGTGGTTCTGAAATCTGAGCCCTTCATTCTAGCAAGTGCTAAAACTTGATAATTTCATTCAAGTACCCCAGATACTGGGAGGGTAGAGGGGAGATCAAGGAAGGGGACAGGGCATCCTGGGGAAAAGTGGGCATAGTCTCTGTGGAGGTTGCTAAAGGAAATGAACTGGGGGCAAGTAAAAGAATTTTGAAGCGACGTTGAGGGCTGAAAATTATAAATGTGAAATGGCCCCAACCAACATAGTAAGAGAGCTTCCCCTACAGCACTCAGCTTCTCAGCAGCAGGGGTGGAGGGAGCCCATGGCTGTGTCAGTCCTCAGAGACGGTCAAGGTAGGCTCTTTTGAATGGCCAATGACCAAGGGAAGTGAGGGTGAAAGTAAGGAAATGAGAGAGACGGCAGAACAGGAAGGGTAGTGATTATACAATGGAAATAATGAATTTTGGAGGCGGGTCCATTCTCAGTAGTGACCAGGTCCAAGGTATTGCTGCAGAAGTGGTCACTAAAACGAGAACAAGTGAAAGAAGGTCCTCAGACCTTCTTTGGTAATTGGCGTGGAACCCACATGGTGTAGTATCAGTTACTACACTGATCAGTTATCAGTTACCCCGCTCGGAGGGGGTCAAGGAACCGAGTGTCCAGAGCAGTACAGACATATACGTCTGAAACAAAAGTTTCATTAAAAAACACCCTTACCTGATATGACGTGCTGCTACTTTTCTACTCTGTTCCACTCTATTTTGCTTTGTAATGTTCCACTCTATTTTGACTTCATGATGCATTAATGGGCCACAGCCTGAACTGAAGAAAACACCAGGCCAGAGTGTTGGGAGTGAAAGGCCTTGGGGTGGGGAGGCCAATGGAGTGTTTGCTGGAGTCACATAGTGAATGGGAGGAAGAGGTTCAGGGCGGTGTGCTCGGTATGGAGCAATGAAGAGAGGGTGCCACAAAGGAGAGGTTTCTGAAAGAGGGTGGTGAGAGCCACCCCCTGGAGGCAGCAGTGGGAAGGAGTCGTGACCCTGAGATTTTCCCCTTAGCTCCCATTGCTAATACAAAGGTCAAAATGCCCCTCATCACAGCCAGCTGGGTGCTATTAGTGCATACCCTTCCTTCACAGGTGAAGACAGGTTGAGTAACTTGCACCTACAGGAGCTTGTAGAGTAGGGATGTGAACCGGATCCACAAGCACTAATGCAGAGGACCCCTGTGTAGCCTTGCGATCTGATAAAATAGCTCATTCTTATCCCGCTGTTTGCTGGGAGCATGTGACTTGATTTTGTGACAGGAGGAACAGGAGGCCAGCCTCTTGCTCTCTTCAACTCCTCCTTTTCCAAACCTGTGCTTCCACATGTAGGAGTAAATATTTTCACAAAGCCGAAATGTGCAAAGCCATTGATTTTTTTCTAGGCAATTTTTATATCCCTGGGCAATGAGCCATTCTCCTAATCTGGGGATTTGGAATTTAAGTAAAAGCATGATCAGCTCTTGGTTTAGCTGCCCTGCCTGGCCGTCAATCACTCCGACCCTCAGACTCTGTTTCTTCCATCTCCGTTCATCATCTTTCAGAAACTCTTCCACTTTATACTTTTCTCATCCCATTTTCTCTGACTGGCTTCTTTCCTCATGAGCCTTTGAGAGTCAGCACAGACTTCCAATTTTTCTGGTCCTTTTTACCCTTTCTCATTAGCTCCTAACCTCTTTTCCTATTATTGGTTGTCACAGTAACTGATACTACACCATGTGGGTTCCACGCCAATTACCAGAAAGGTTGAGCCACACAGAGTTTCGTTGTCCCCTCAGCTTCCCTTCCTTGAGCTAAGAGTTTGTTTATTTATATCAGGGTTTCTGAAGAAACAATTCTTTGTTCTGCCTCTTCTGAACTCATCCCTATGTGATGAATCTTCATATGATCTATCAAAGTAATGTATTTGAGACATTTATAGACCCTTGTCTCCATCTTCTTTTAGAAATTATCCTTGAAAGCCTTTTAGGAGATGTTCCAAAACAAAGCTAGGAACATAAATTATATTTTTTAATTGATCAGAGTGAAAAGAAATATTACAGTTCATAAAAGAAACAAACCCAAGAACACCTTATAAACACTACAGTGAGTCACTTAGGGTAGAATATTTTATAAAGTCATTCAAGAAAAATGGAGGAATTTTATGAGAATTCCTCTAAACTGGGTTCTGTGATACAGAGCTAAACAAAATAGACAAGAGTTTTCTGCTTTCATGCGGGGCCACATGACTGTCTAATTGACTATACTTTCTAGACTACTACAGTTCCAAAGAAATATGCTAATGAAAAAATTTCATTATTTCTGGCTTTTTGCATCACGCTCTTGAGAAATTTCCTTTTCGGTTATGAAAATATAAACAGGAAATTCAAAGTAATTATTTAACTATAAACATTGGTCTTATTTTGCTGCTATTTTTCACTACCCATGTCCAAAGTTAAGATCTGTTTTTCTCTTACTAACATTTATAAAGGGGTCGTAGTGACTGAGGTAGTCCTTATCAGGATC